TATATTAAATGCTCTTCCACATGTTCAAATGTTCATAATAACATTTGAGACATAAGCAGAAGTCTTACAACAGTATAATTTACACAGAGTAAATAACTCACCCCCATGTAAGAAAGCTTTAACTATGCCAAACATTTCAAGAATGGGAGCTCAGAGAAAAAGATACTGCCAAGATATAAGTAGCATCACATCATCTCTATCTGAAATCTAACACCTATCATTAAGAATTTAAGAGAATGGATTCATAGCCATGTATATTATTTGGGCTAGAGAGGTCAAAAGAATTAGCTTAGAATAATCAGAACTGGCAGAATAGAACTAATAGTGTTGAACACCTTGGGGTGTTGCAACTCAGGTGCTTATTCAAAGATGTATCCAACACCATTGGCTAAAACTCATAATAGGGTTGGACTGTAAAACTAATTCTGAGACCATTTCTTGACACCTCTGAGTCTGATGTGTAATTACTCTGTTAATGTGAAATTACATAAAACAAAAGCACAGAGACAGTGTCTCAAATATTTCAAAAAGAGGCAGTACAGACTAAGCCTAAAAATATGACTTTGCAATTTCAGGCACTACTAAAGAAGGAAAAATTGTTTGTTTTTAAAGGTCTCAGTTCCTTCTTTTCTAAAATAAGAGTTATGCCATGCCAGCCTCGGAAGAGAGTACTACACATTAGCTAATATCTAAACCATCCTTTGAAAAACATAGTGATGAATGAACTTGTAAAGCGTACCAATAGATATAAGCAATACCATTACTTGCAGAGAAAACAGATAACACACAACCATGGACATCAATCTACCAGCAGCTAAATTAATATTATTATTACTGCTAAACAATACTTCCAGTTTCTTAATAACTGTAAATTTTGGCAGCAAAAAGATATGAGTATTTATTGTTCATAATCTCAAATCATTATATTGTATCTATATTTTTTTGCAGATTACAATGGGAATTTTGTGAGCTCATCAGTTTTGTAAATCCAAATACTTATGAATGTCATTTGCCAGTATGTGAATCATGCAGCCTGTGAAATCCCACCCAAATGGGATGTTCATGTGTAGGGGAATGAATGCATCTAAATTCTGACCCAGCACTATTTCACTATGTCCAAAAGGAGTTTGCTTAATCTTCAGGTTGCAATGAAAGTAACAGGAAGAATTCACTGCCACATTATTGGGGTGAAAAGAACACCCACAGCCTCCTTCCACAGGTAGGAATTCCAAAATGGGGTTTCTTAAACCTTCCTCTGAAAGTGTCAGGACTGGTCACAGTCTGATTGAACTTGGAGGGGTTAGTGATCTGAGCTATATGACAGCTGCTACCTTCCTGTGGAAAGCCTGTGTAAGTATTTGTGCTCCTAGTAAAATGTACAGAGGAAGTACTTCATGTTTCTTATCTCAAATGAAGGTACCTTTCTCTGCTTTTCGAATATTAAGAAGTCTGAACTCAGTGTGGCTGTAGGATGCTAACTGAGAAAGACAAAAGAGGAACAGCCTGGAGATTTTCATGATGCTCTGGAGCACTTCATACACATGGAAACATTTGCAGTAGCGCTAGCAGTAGTGCCAAATTGCCTTTTCTCACCATAAAAGCCATCTTCTGGCCATGGCACCTGTGAAAGAATACATTTCTAAGGTGTTAGCTGCCATCTGTTTGATTTTACAGGCCAATGGGACAGTGACACCTTATTTCCCATGTATTTACCTGCTTGAAATTCAGTCTACAGAGAGAAGAAGGTGAAAGTAGAAAGAAACAAAACTCCTTTGATTTTGGGTGAGGTGGGAAAGCCACACACTGGGTTCAGAGCAAAGAAGCACACTTCTCCATTCTGTAGTTTTTATCAGCTGCATAGTTAATTCCCTGGGATGCTCCTGCAAGTGTCTGTACATTCAAATGTACTCATAGTAAGCCATAACTTAAGAGTATTTAACAGTTTATAGCAGGCTCATTGGATGCAATTATCAACACTTTGAATACAACTCAGTTTATGTTTGCATGCACTTTTAAATTGTTTTGTTATCAGTAAAAAAAAAAAAAAAAATTCTTAAAAAAAAAATTATAATTTTGGTCTCAGTTTGTGCCAGAGTTGAATCTTTCCTAAGTGACACTTTCCAAATGAATGTCATCGTTATCATTGTCTTTTTTTTTTTTTTTAAACCTTTTATTGCTTTTGTGTTTTCTTGTCTTTTTTTGCTTTCTTTTTTTCTTTTTTTCTTTTGTTTTCCCAGAATATATTATCAATTTTAGATGTTATCACAGAAAACCAAGCCTGGGACACTATGAAAAGGTGCTGGGCAAGATTCCTTACATACCTCTTCTGGGACAAGGCACCTCAACCCTTGGCCTCTGGCAGCTGTTGTTCTTCTAGACCTGCATTTACTAAGGATTTTTCTCTCTGCTTACTGCATGTCCACACTTCCTCTTGTTCTACTCCTGGACCTCCCAAGTTCTTGCCTTTATGCACTTCCTGCAGTCCCAACCCTGGACTGGAGAGACCCTGAGCAGAATCTAAGCTGTGAAGATTTAGCCTATTGGGCTATTTGTGGGCCAGGTGGACTTTGCTTTTTTGTTTGTGTGTTGGGTTTGGTGGGGGGTTTTTAGTTGGGTTTGGGTTTTTTGGGGGAGCATATGTTTTTTTTTGTTTTTAGATTTGTTTTCTCTTTTCTTAGGGCTTTCTTACTCTTAGAGACACAGGTCTGAGTTGCAACTCTACTCTTTCCTATTTTGTGGGCAGAGAGCAGAATGGCAGCAGCCAGGATGCAGTGTTTCCAGTTCCTCCTTCTCCACAGTGTAGCCTGCTGCATGGTTCCGTATGATCTGCTGGACTTCAGTGCAAAGGCCATAGTCCCCACTCACACAGCAGCTCTGTGTTCATCTGCTTGCACCCACTAGAGGCTTTGTGGAAAAAGGACACATCTCTTATGGTTATAAAGTCAGCATATCTGCTTTGGACTTTTGCATCTGTGATACTATTGTTTCTTAAAAAATATAATCAGTTCTTTTTGCACTCACTTTTTTTGGTTGTTTTTAAGAAGACTAATGACATTTGTTTGTCAGTGTAGAATAGAACTTAAATTTTCTTACAGCCGAACCACAAATGCACAAATTCAATGACCTTGCTATCTGTTGTGTAACCCTGATCAGTGTCATGGACATAATAATCTTTTTACTGTTCCATGTAAGACAGACCTCATGCAATGACATCTGCTTTTTCATTGGCAGGTTTATTTCCTATCACAACATGCGGCAATTGATATTTATATCTCATCTTGGCATTGTACATTTGACATGCGATCAAAGGGGTCCCCAGAGTATTGGAGCTCTTTCTGTAGCCACTTGAAGGGCATTTGCTCTTAGGATTTGAGCCTCACAAATCCACAAACCATGGTTCTCTTTTATACTGCAGCTATTTAACTAACACTCCTGTATTTTGCAACAAGACAATTAAAAGGAGAACTTGACTTCAGTGTCTGGTGGTGAAGGTTACTATGTTCACCTCAGCATTGTCTCAGCTGCAAGATATGGAAAGCAGCTGTGCCACAGCGATACACTTCATAACCATCAAGGACTACAATTAGTCCTCAGAAACTCACTGTCTGTACAGAGCTTTCCTGACAACAGCTAATGCAGCAAATGGCCTTCCCTGCTCAAACTCACATTTGGAAATACACTTAGTGATATTATTTTAAACTCTTCCTGAAAGTTATAGAAGTACTGGTTTCCTACAGCAGCAGCAGCAGGAAGTCGACATCCCAAGGGGTTTCTGTTGTGGACACACAAACTGTATGTACTCAGATGTGTGTGTGTGTGTAATTTCTTAAAAAGTTGTGCCTCAGTTTTGACCCATGTTTTTCCTCTCCTTTATCATTAATTTGAAATTAAAATATATAAAGCATGCTTCCTATGTTCACTGTTATTTCATGGACAAAATAAAATCTCCTTTCATGAAGCAAATTCAAAGCAGTCCTGTCAGTAGAATGCCTAAATGATGCTCCCAAAATAAATCTCCCTGTCTCAGTCCTGTACTCAGAATCTGTTTTCTTTACCTCATTTTCAGATCTAATTTTCCCAGGGTTTCTATTGCATTATATTCTCTCTGCCTTTGCTCCCAGTCTCCAAGAGAAATGTAAACCTAATTAAAGACACATGGAATTTTTAGGCTGTATTAGTTAGAGACATTTTGATTGAAAATAGGCTTGCATGAAGCCATGGGAAGTTGTTTCCAGGCTTCTTTTTTGAGAGAGAAATGCCACAAGCTTACTCCCAACTTACATAAAGGAGATTCAAGGAAAATATTTCGCAAAGAGTGACATAAATACAGTCACCAGTACAGGCTGGGGCCGATCTGCTGGAAAGTAACCTTCTGTACAGAAGTTCCTTCTGTAGAGAAGGATCTCAGGGGTCATGGTGGACAACAAGCTGTTCATAGCCAGCAGTATGCCCTTGTGACAAGAAAGCCAAGATTATCATGGGGTGCTTTGGGAAAAGCACTGCCAGCAGGTTGAGAGAGGTGATCCTGCCCCTCTACTCAGTCCTAATGAGAGGCATCTGAAGCATTGTGTCTGGTTCTTGGTTCCTCCAGACATGAGTCTCCTGGTGTAGGTCCAGTAAAGGGTGACAAAGATGATCAAGGGACTGGATCATCTCTCTTATGAGGAAAGGCTGAGGGAGCTGGGCCTGATCAGCCCCAAGAAGAAACCACTGAGAAGGGAACCAGTGGTTACTGTAAGTATCTGAAGGGAGGGTGTTGAAAGGATGGGTCCAGTTCAACTTGGTGGTGCAGGGCAACAGGACAAGCAACAGGCAGAAATTGATACACAGAAAGTTCCACCTGAACATAAGGGAGAACTTCACTGCGCAAGTGAGCAAGCACTGGAACAGATTGCCCAGAGAAGTTGTGGAGTCTCCCTCACTGGAAATATTCAAGAACTATTTGGATGCAATGCCGTGCAATGTACCCTGCTTGAGCAGAGAGGTTGAACCAGATAACTTCACCTGTGATCCCTTCCCAACCTTACCCATTTATGATAAGCATGTCAATCAGGTGCATGGGAGCACATGCATTAATATAGGTATTTTTGCACATATATTTAATGTGTATATATTTCATACAGGTACAATTCTTATAGCTCATGTTTTGCATGATAAAAGCATGCATGGTATTTAAAAGTTTATTCAGCCAGCAGTCCCTGCCACATGATTAGATGCAAATCCACTCCATGACCTGATCCACAGCTGTGCTTCTCAGATTGTGTCCATGGTTGTCCATAGTGCCAGGATATGATGACACAGCACACATTGTTTTCCCTCACATTATCACTAATTATCAAACGGGAGCAGTACTGTGTTTATACAATATATATCTTTGTTGCAACAGAGATGAGTCAATTCTAGGAGAGGAAAAGCTCAGCCACAGAAAAGAGGATGTAATAGGAACAGCAGATAACAAGTTACTTTCATATCACACGTTATCACCCTGAAGTTTCTTATTATCCTGACACAAATTTTGTTCCTTCTTTCATGAATAGAGGCGCTAGAGCAGAACCATTTCACAGGAACAACATGAAGATACCCAGTCAGACCATGTGTGTCATCTAGCACAGTATCCTGACCCTGATGGTGGTCAACAGTAAATGTCTGTGAAAGAGTACAAAAGGGGAGCAAGAATAAAATAACGATTCCCAAAGTACATATGTTCAGCTGAAAAATCTAAACGGGGATTTGAAGTAGAAATAGTGTGTCTATGTATTTAATACACCCTGATGGGTCTAATTATGAATTTGTACAAATGGCTTTTGAATTTTTTTTTTCCATATAAGCTTTTGAAATAAATAACTTTTTCGATGATGATATAGTGAAAATATATCTCTATTGAAGTCATAGGCACTTAACATTCAGAACCCCTTATTTTGAAATTTACAGCTATATGTAGCACATTTTTTTTTTTAATTCTTCAACTAAAGTCTGAACAGTTTTAGCATGCACTAGGAGGCGGAATCTTTTACATTGCGAATTAATTTTGGACTCTATGATCATGTACAGGAATGGAGGCTGAAAAGCAGAACCAAATCAGGTTCCAAACCAAATTAGAGTTTAAGCCTTCTGTGGCATAAAATACACCTGCCAAACAGCAGCCACACCAATGTCTTCTTACAGAATAATGTCCAAAATCTCCTCAGTTAGGCAGAAACAACTTTATCCAAGTTGCTACATTTCCAATTTTGAACAGCTCTATAGAAAGATAGAGAGAAAACAGAAACATAAGGGTGTCATTTAGTAGCACTCCTGTAAAATCTTTCACTGATAGCAGAATCACTATGACTCAACTTTAACATAAAATCCTAATTTGAGAAACTTGTGACTTGAAACATAGGAGTCCTTTCCACTACAACTTGCACTTCTAATCAACCTGAAAAGTGTTGATGCTTTTACCTAATGACATATAAATAATATATTATTACATGGACTACTGTATGACCTTAAAGAAACTTAAATTCAGTTGTTGCTTAGACAGCAGTCAGTTCAAGAAGTTTGAAACACATTGCAATCAATTCTCGTTTGCTGACAGAACACAGGATACCTCCTTTAAGAAGTTTAAAAAGAAAATTAGAATCTATTGCTCCCACCTTCACCTTGACAGCATTCCAGGAAAACAAGCACCCTTGTCTCTTCCACAGTCATTCTTGCCTGTGCTATTCTAGAAAACTCAGTTCTTTCAGAGTCAGTAGGAAAAATAGCCTACAAATTATTTTCTTTCATAAGAAGCCCACATCCATAAGAGGAAGGCTTTTCTAATGGCATTAAAATTTGTAAGACTTTGGCTTAATTTTCCTTGTTAGTTTCTAAAAGCCATATTTATCCTCATGCTAACAAAAGGTCCTAAGCCTTGTCTGTAATGCAGTGAACAAGGGTACCGCTTACAGAGAATTCTGTAAACAGTGGCCCACTAGAAATGTGAATCACATTGCACTATCCTGCTCTGTCAGTTGCCCTTGCAGCTTTGGCTCTGTACTCTTCTGGCCCCTAGGTCACTGTTTCTCTATGTGCCTGGCTGACATGCAGTTAGTGCTGCTCATAGAATCAGAAGCCTCAAAAATCTGCAACTGCTAAATACAAGTGAATCTATGAGCAAACAGAATCTGTTGAACCTTTACATTTTTGGGGCTATATGTAAATGAAAAGCTCTTCTCAAGCCTTTGAATCAGAATTTGCAGAATGTGGGGTCTAAATATTGGTGAATTTATTTCTATTGAGAGAAAATGCTCTGGCAGAATTTCAACCAGACCTGGCACTGGGCCCCACTAATTTCCTCACAAATGTTTTTCTTATGGGTTTTCCTGATTAAACTGTGATCCTAACAGATTGATATTGGCAGAGTTTAGATACACATTTGGATCTGGAGTAAGTGCACTACAACATACTTAAAAATAAAATTGAAAAAAATAGCTGCACTTCTGTTGTTCAGGCCCTAGACAGTTAACATAAACCATACTTCTTTCTGCAATCACAGTATATGTATTTCATTCCATCACTCTGACTAAAACATGACAACAGTTACCTTTCTGAACAAATTCCAAAAAGCTCATATACTCCTAACTATTTTGTCCCTTGCTGTGCTGAGGATGTCTTCCCAGGCTACTACGGCTGCTTCTCTTCTCCCATATTTGGAAGTTGGCCTTCAGCATGGAGATCCCTTGTGGGTTTCTGTTTAAATTCCAGAGTCACTGTTGCACATTACCATTTCCTTCAGCTGATGTAAATCAAATACAGTATGAGTGAAAAATGTGAGTCTAGGCTTGGTTAACTGCTTTGCAAGGGGAACTGTGATGAAGGCAGAAAGTTTTCTCAGGAGGCAACATTTCACAAGCACAGCGTGCTTTGCCCAACGGGACATTGCTGAGGCTATAGCCCCTCTTTCAGCACCAGTTTGCACATACTTTACTATACAGTTGGCAATCTTGATACAGTGGAGAACTCACATGGAAAATATTGTTGTCTGGCATCAGGTACATTTTTCTATACACAGAGCCCAAAGCCAAAACAGAAATTTCATTTCACCCCTGGCATTTTAGGGCATTTGCAGCAAACTTAATAGCCCATAATTTTTGCTTCTCATCCTCCAGTAGCTTCAAGACAGCAGAACCCAATCAGCTCCTAATTTCAAAAAATGTTAAAATTTTTAATAATCAACTGTTGTCTTTTTAAAGTACACTGAATACATGATCTTGTATTGCATATAATACCTTAAATAGGAATTATTTTGAAAATTTTTAACAGAACTAATAATTTATAGCCAAGCTCCTGTAGGACAGGATTTATGAACTTTTCATTCCTACCCCTGAATACTGACATGGCAATGTCACCTTGTAATAGGGAAAATGCCACTAACACTTGACACCTACAGGAAAACAAGGCAAAGCACAGGGATCTTCCCTATGGATAAGAGATTCACAGTTTGATTTTTAATAGCTAGGAATATAGCCATAGAGAAAGACAATCATGGTTTTGGTATACTGAAGAGATTCTAAACCAAAACTTATGGACATAACATGAATGAGAACAGATTTTTCAGGCCCAGTAAGGTATCATGAATTGATGTCATTCTGGATTCTTCGCTTTACAGCAGGATAAAACTCTCAATACAATCCTAATGATCCTTAAAATCATGACTGCCAGATACACACTGTCCTTTTTGTAATGCCACTGCATTTTATGTGGAACAAAGAAGAAAAAGGTTCACAAAGCAATCTTTCAATGAATCCTACTGAATTTTCCGCAACTGAAGGGTCCAATTATACGAAAATAACTGCAAGTTCAGGATCTGGGGGCAGGAAAAAGGAAGTATTTTTGCATTAGGTTAATTGTCTTTCTCTGTTGTAATTACTTGAAGCTCCTCTGAGACACTTGAAGAGTTTTAGTCAAGACGTATTACTGAATACAATAAGGATAAGAAACTAAAAAGTATGTCAAAGAAGTATATTTATTCTGTGGATTTATATCTCCACTGTATATGGAGGGAGTTTATAAATTGATACACAAATTAAGTGCTTTCTCTTTGAAGTCCACTTTGGCCATTTAGTACTTGCTGATGTCAGAAAACTCCTATATCTACTAATAAATGGCTACAAATCTTAAGCTTGCACACTAAATCAGATAATAATGTAAGCCATAAAGAATCTATGAAAATATTAAAGATCTCTACAATTATGCAGTCAGAAACCAATCACGTCAAGCCACATATAGAAAGAGTTCATTATTACTCCATATAGTACTTCTTAATTTCAGCCAGTGGCTTTCCAAGAAGTGGAAAAAAAAAAGCCAGTCTAAAGGCTTTGACTTCGTGCTGAATTTGAACATATTCATTATTGCAAACTCCCCTGAGACTGTAAATCCTGCAGTAGGGAAGTAAATAACTTGTGAGACTCCAAACCAGCAGAACACTTAAAATTTCAGACCAAACTTGTACTTCCCAGCACACACATGCTTTAATACTTGAGTAAATCAAATTCAGTATAAGGAACCACTGGGAAAGGAGCTGATACATAAAACCACCTAATATTAGAAGTTGGGGAAAAAAACCTGCAGAGATACTGATAAACCTGTACCCCTGCCCCCAGAAAAATATTTTATATTTAGAAAAATTCCTTAGATCATCTTGTTGGCTGGTTTGGAATCAGAGGTCCTTGAAATTAAACTGAACATACCTGCACACAAAAATACTTAATCAAGGACTGATTATGAAAATGTGCTCTTGCAAGTCAGATAAAAAATATGGGAACTTATTGTAGGCATCTCACCTGAGATATCTGACCATTTCTGTGCAAAGTAAAATGGGAAGCTTAAATTGACCAACAGGAATAATTTGAAACAGCCTTTTCTTTTTAAGGAAATACACCAATACCATATAAGAAGTTAGTTGCCACATTAGTTGCTGGTAGATGTAGCAGCTCTGTAAACTGCTTGATGACAAGAGTCTTTCTGCTCTCACAGAGCATGTTATTGGAAAGGAACCATGGAGCAGCAAGAGGTCCATGATTAAAAAAAAGCCAAATAAAGCCAAATTACAACATTGACATGAGGTTTAATATTATTAACTTAAACACATTTGACATCTTCAGTTTCTTTGCCTCAATTTCCTTGTGTTCATGTGTAGAAATGACCATAAATATTAGCCAAAATCCCTATTTGCAAAGTAAATGTTTAGACTATTAAAATGATCACCTACTGTAAATAAAGCATTTGGATTGTTTACCATATTGACAAGCTCTGAACCAGTATAAGAGTCAAGCTCCTGAAAACCACCTGTTGCTCTATGAAACACCAAAATCTACTTTAGGATAATAATATTGTTAGCACAAAAGTAGAAAGACTTTTTTGTTTGCATTTACTGTGAATAGACTGTATAATTTTAACTGCACATACACTATCAAACATGCTTTGCATGTACACGATAATAAATTTTTACCTGCAATTTTTTTAGAAGTTGAAAAATGTTTTTTTTAACTTCATCCCTAGTTAGCAATTTCTAGATTAAATACACAAAAATATATATTTATTATGCTTACCTTTCTTTTCTACATGTTTCACATTTTAAAAAACATTCCTTGAATTTTGTTGTTACAGTTGTTATGATACTTACTCCACAGTAAGTCACTTCAGAATGCAGTGTAGTTTAAAAAAAGTTTTGGGTTCGGTGCAGTTGACACAGTAACTGAGGAGATGAAAAAAATTAATTACATTTGCACTCTCGGTTTCCCAGCGGAATTTCTAGCAAGAAACCCCTTGCAAGAGACAGGGAATTGGTAGCAGTCTTCTCTGCTGACCTAAGCCCCACTATGTCTGCACAGCAACAGAACACAGCTATAGAAGGGCAACTAAGAACCAAGTCGTGTTGCGCAATGAAACAAAGTTTGTATTCAGGGGCTGGATGACAACTCTGATGTAAATTTTCCAGTTGTAATAGGCTGCTCCCATCTAGCTCAGATAGTGACTGATGATGAGTCAGTGTATAAAAATTCTGAAGTGTTGGTGTCATTGCAGTTCCTAGAACACAGCCAGCCAAGATGCAGAGGTAAAAAGAACCTAACCTGGTTTCATGGCAAAAGTCATCTGAAGACAAGGCACATTGACATGTCATTGTGGTGGTTACACTGTCAAACACCTTAGTAATCTGCTCTTTCTCTCTCTAAGGCTGTAATTTATTAGGCATGAAATTTATTCCTCCTGTGCCAGTCACCTACACACTAGAGCTATCAGCATAGTAATACCATTCTAAACAAACTCATGACAAATTTAAAATTTATGTTTAAGGTGCACATTACCACAGAAAGAAAAAAAACCTTTTTACTTAGAATTCAGTCATCCATTCCTTACTCTTTAGATTACCCAAAGTTAATGCTTGATAAGAGGGAATGCAGAATGTCCACTGATCAACAGTAGCCTCCAATTCTCCAGAAGCTGATAAAAGAGATTCTAAACCTTAAGTTTCAACATATGCTTAAATCTTCATAGGAGTGAGACATTTATACAATCCAGTTTATGCAATATATAAATATAGCATTTCTGTAAACTTCCTCAGGTAGCTAATTAGTTTTTACTCAGAAAAGTTAGAAGCTGGTGCAGTAAAGGAACAAGATCAGATGATTCCAGGTAAAAGTGATTAATCACAGTCAAGTGTATTTGCCTAGAAAGCATAATTCTCCTCTACTGTGGTACCTAGTACTGAAAATATTTACTGTAAAATGGAGGCTAGTGTTTCAAGCTAATCAGACACGTCCACTTTCAATAAAGTATTAATACTAGCAAAACACCTTATGATTGCAGCCAACTGCAGGTTCATGAAGCTCTTAGCAAATATCTTGGTTTCACTGCTCCTGTCACTTGCAGCTGTACTGTCATGTACCCTGAGCATGAGAGCACAGAACTCTCCAAAAAACACTGTGGCTGAGGCTGCATTGCAGCTACACTTTTTATAAGTGCCCATTGTCCTTCCTTTTTCCACCTAAGCCTATTGCTTTTGTATTCATGCATCGCACTTACCTCAGTGGAAGTAGAGAGAATTTCTTTCCTTCATTAAAAGACTTGTGAAAAAAGGAGAATTTATTTGATCATTTGGGTCAGAGAGATATTATACCCCTAAAGACAATGAAGATTTCTGTAAGCAGAAGATGCTCCTGACATCAGGTCCTCTGCAGAAATGGGCTTAACTGGACTCACTTGAGTTTGTATGAAATACTAAGAGACATGGAAAGAATCCTTAAAAGATAATCCTTTCATTCTAAGCACATTAACTTATCTGAGATGCTGATCTCCACTGTCATACTAATAATAGATGCTACTTAATAATGCTAACAATTTGAGTGTGTGGAAAGGAGATCTTGCATCCCTTTGTTTGTTTTGTTTGATATGCAATATCATATTGGAAGAAGACAAAAGAAATCACATATTTCCATCCTGGACTTTATAAACAGAAACTATTACTTTCAAACCATCTTCCAAGACCTGATGAATTAATGACTAATGCAGAACCTGAGGAAGCAAAACCACAATAAGAAACTCTGAACTTCTTGAAAAAAGTACCTGCCTCAAAGCTGTTACTCATATGACATCAGTGTGACAGCTGTGAATACTGCAAAGGAAAAAGAAAACTCTGTTAACTTAATACTTTAAAAAAAAAAAAGCAAACCAGAAAAGCAGTGTTACATACATTGCTATTAATTATATACCAATAAAAGTGAAGTAGTGAAACAAACTCTTAATACCAACACATCCCAAATACAAGTACAGATTTTGGTCCTGTAGGCAGGAAAAGCATCAGGAGGCCACCAAAAATTTCCACTGGTTCTGTATTTTAAGTTGCCTGTAGTAACTGCATCTGGCCCACCAGATCAGCCTTTTATAATGATCAGATAACACCTTTCCCTGAAAGTCATATGCATAAACATGCATATTTCAGCCATAAGTCAGTACGAGCAATCCTAAAATCTAAAGTAAGTATTTTGAATCAAAGAGCTTTGCTTTTGTGTGAGTCCCACAAATGACTAAATATGTAGGGTTTATTAAGTTTTCAGTCTTCCATAAAACAGAATTTAGCAGATTATTTGACACAGACTAATTGATTTTTGTAATTCCCAGCTCCTGCACACTGCTGTCTAGAAGGATTGTTACCTATTCTCATTATTATTGATCTACAGTATGTGAAAGAGGTACTAGGTGTGGTAGGTACATATATGCTAAAAATGGTACCTGCTATACAGCCAACCGCAAACAACGTAAGCCACTCTTACAGTGCACAGTTCAAGTAACTTAAAACACTCATTACTGCTGAAAGACTGATACTATAATTATGTTTTGCATGCCAATAGCATAATTTGATTATCTGTTACTGAGCCTACAAATACACCTCTTTCCAAACCAAGTGGGATTGCACAACCTAGTAGTACTATCACTACTACCACCGAAGATTCAATAAATACACACAGAGAAATATGATTTCCATCATACCAAGAGAGAACAGTAAAGAAACTAAAACAAAAAACTTCTGAGCTAAAGGTGTTGCTATGATTTCTTAACCTTGCACGCAGTCTATTTTTCATAGCTTTTTAGGCCTACAACTCATAACTGTCCCTGTAGCTGCAACCCTGACAACGCTGGTACAAGTTACAAAGAGATCCTTGAGCTCACACCAGCCTTACTGATTTAATGGCTCTTTCTGTATGTCCCTGTGTCTGCTGGTAGGAGTGGCTGTGTTCAAACACTGCACAGAAAACATATTGTTTGCTCTGGAACACTTCAGAGTACAACCTAGTCTGACAGGGACATTGATTTATACCTTAAAATAGCAGCACAAGGATAAAAACATCTACAAGCCAGCAATAACTTTCCAAATCTGAACCCGTGCTCGTTTATCAAAGAAAGAAGCGCAGAGCGTAACTCCTTACTCACGTTTTATTTTATTACCACGAGTGCTGCTATTGCCACAGGACACGGCGCCCGGGGCTCCCCGGAGGACGGGCAGCGCTCGCACGGGCTCACCCCGACCTGTGCTGGGACTGGCAGCCCCGCTCCCACACCGGCGCTACGGGAAAGCGGGGATTTATCTTCCTCTCTGACTACGGTTTTTAATCCTTCTCCCGACACCACGCCGCTCACCGAAGTGTATTTAAACAAACTCCCGCTGTTACCGCCAGTCATAGCGGTAAAACTCAAGCCGAGGTACAGTCTCCCCGTACGTGCCGCCCCGCAGGGCCTCAGCGTTGTCCCGCCGTGTCCCCTCAGCACCTGAGGGGCGGCACGCGGGGAGCGGGAGGGCAGGGACTGCCCGCCCCACCTGAGGCGAAGCGCGGGCGGGAAGCGGCGCCCGCAGCCTCTCACCACTTTTCCTCAGTGTGGGCGGAAGCGTTCGGGGCCGCGCCCAGGGCGGGCCGCGCAGGGCCGGCTGCCGGGAGAACGCACGCCCCGCACGAAGCGGCGCTCCCCAAGCAGCGCCTGGGGACGGCGGGTCCGGCTAGGAGCGCCACCTCCGTCCCAGCGAT